CATAGCATCAGAACTCTAAGCACCTGAGAGAGAGTGGGCACCTCCCAGAACATTGTTTTGTGCCACTCCTAACAGAAATACTCCAGGTGGACAACTTCAGTAATCAGGAGCTCCTCAGTTGCTCATAGAAAATCTCACCTTGGAGTTTACAAAGACTTATGGGTAGAAAAGCCACACTAAGTAATTTACTATACCGCAAAGGTGTTACCTATTTCTAACAATTTAGTTTTAAGCTTCTGGATTTCTAGCTGTAGGTTTAGAATCATTTATAATTTTTCATTTATTTTGTCATTTTGTTTTTCTTTTCTTCTAAAATTCTTCTAGGGTTTTGTCTGTGTTTTCCTTGGTCTGTCTCTCAATTCTTTGAGGATACCTAAATATAATTCTTTTGAATTCCTTAACAGGGAGTTCCAATGCTGGGTCTTCCTCGGGGATGTGTTTTGGGTCTGTATCCTGGTCCCTTGTTTCTCTTGCTTTATCTTGCTTCTTTGTGTGGATTGTGATGCTCTGTTGTCTCCAAGGCATTGTGACGTTTTTGTGTTTATATTTAATTGGTGATTGTATATTGGAGTGACTAGCCCACAATTTTTGTTTTCTTTTTATGTTATCTACACAGGCAGAGTACTGTGCTGTGCTCCTCTGTTCGCTAGTTGACAGCACTTAACACACTCACCATCTTTCTCTTTTCCTGTTGTCAGCCCCTCATATGTCCTTGTCAACCTTGGCAAACAGAGCCTGTTCTTAGTTCTCTGGAATCCGAATGAGAATGCTATCACTTTAAAATCCAAAATGGTTGCCAGTTGTAACATTCAAAATGGCTGTGCCCTTGGTCATTGTAATTTCCAAAATGGCCACTACTTGTAAACATTCAAAATGGCTGTGTCCTCGGTCACTTTAAATATCCAAAATGGCCACCGCTTGTAAACAATCAAAATGGCTGCTCCCTCGGGACAGCGGAAAGTCCACAGCTCAGGTTGTCTCCCTCCTTACTGTTTCCCTTCCTAGTCATAGGCCACCAGCTCAGTGGTCCCTGCAGCCCTTGGTGACCGGGGCTGATCTTTAGGTCAATTCTCAGGTCCCAACACCACTTGGAAATATTCAGCCTTTTGGTCCTGTCAGAGCAGTTGACAGCGTGCAGCTCTGACCATCTCTGTACTCGCTATTTCTGTTCAGGTTTTTCCACTATTTGGTGCCTAATCTACTTCTGCATAGTTCCTTTCAAAGCTCAGGGCTCTTGAATTATCTTCTGTATTTCTGTCAATTGGTTTTTCTTTTCTTGGTTGAAGAGGGTCTGTGTCGCTTGTCTGTTTATTCTTCCATCTTACCAGAAGTCCACCCCCTTTAAGATACTTTGTCTATGAGGAGTAAAGAGCACCCACTGTGGCTGGGCATGATGTCAGGAGCGTGCTTGGTCTGAAGTTATGATGAACAGCTGAATAAAAATTAATTCTTTTTGGGTTATTTCCCTTGGAGAGGTAGAAGTGCTAGGTCAAAAGCAATGAAGAGTTTTATAGTCTATATGTTGCTAATTTGTTTTTCATAAAAAATGGACAGATTCACAGGGGACATCAAGCTCAGTTGGCATAACATACTATACAAAACATTGTTCCACCTACTACTTTGGCGAGTAGCGACTGGGACCTTAAAAGCTAGGAAGCTGCCATTTAGAT